GCCATAACTCAAATTAAGCCTGTTGTGAAGTAGTGTAGTGTTGTTGGGCTCAGAAATTGCTTCTTACCACTCGTGATATGATTGTTTTGAAGGAAAACATGTGTTTCTCTCATGCCACCCTAACGGTTGGTCCGAGGTTCGAATCAATACTCTGTCGACCAGTGACATCAGAGTGCACTCCTAGTTGTTTACAGTAGATGTAGCTGACCATAAAATCAACATTGCCGAGCTGGATCCATTGTGTCTGGCCGTGATTGAACCTTCTTGCTATCCAAAACTGCGCATGGTTTTCATCTGCATTATGCGGGGACTTAACTGCCTTGTTGGTAGCCACTGGTAACCTTGCTCCTTGCTGCGCTACTTTCGAATGCATTAGTTGCGATCGAAGGGACATTCCTTCAGTTCGAGCAGTTGTAATGATTAAACTTGAAAAACGCTGACCATTATAAGATTGTTGCCCCGAAGGGAGGAATTTATCGTCAGTGCTAGACACAAACGAAGGGAAGCCGTAAGGCAATTCTATGCGTGTAGCCATGTTGCAGCTGCGAAATCACCGAAGTGGTGAATGTTCACGTTTGGCACGTCTTCAAAGTGAGATTAACTGACCTATGTTGTCACACTGTGCATTTCATTGATTTAGTTTGGTTAACTAGTTCGCTGCTGGAAGGACTAAGGCACGCACTGTCTTTGTCTCAGTTCATAAAATCCAGGATTCACCTCCGATCGTTTATGGTTAACTTTCCCGCCTGAGTAGACCAGGGTTCGGCAACAGTTTGAAGCAGCGGGCCGGGTGGCTGCGAGCCGGATTTCAGAAAGTTGAGGCAGGGAGCCGGATCAAACTGCCTCGCGGGCCTTAGGTTCTTGACCACTGACGTAGAAATTTAAGCTGTTTGCTCTACGCACAACCAGCACAGGCTAAACTAGGTGTCACAAATATGACTGCCGAAGATTGCTGGTCTAGATTAATACATGTAAATGCTTTTAAAAATTTCATGTCCGAATAAAGGGATTTGCAAACAGTTAACTGTGCATACCACATGATTGGTAGCCCAGATGGTGTCTATTTAGAGCTTTGTGTCAAATAAAACAACATATTGTTGAGACAAATAAAACAACAGTTGTTTGTGTCAAATAAAACAGCAAATTCAATTGAGTCCAAGAATCACTTTGCAATAAAACTGTGTTCTCAGCTCTGCAACAAATCTTTACTGGTTTGTACCAAACAGAGATTAACCCGCAACATCAGTGTCGCCCATCACTACAAATATGACAAGGGAACTATGCAATAACAAAATTGCCCCTTCAGTATCCTGAGCTTACTCTGACTCGTTGTAAGAGAGGGAGCATTCATGATATAACAGTTCAATCTTTCTTCTTTCCCAGGCACTCTGAAGTACCCCCCCCCCCAGCTGCACTCTGACTGAGAGGACACACGAAGGAGTGCTACAGGACATGAAAGCAGCAATGATGACCGGTACCACAAAGCATGGGATGTATGGGCCAATCCCCATTATCGACTCCAAGGATTTGACTTGGTTTGGAGCGTAGTGCCGGACTACGTGCATTGTCTACTTGAAGGTGTCACTGAACAGCTGACAGAGGCGTGGTTCTCGAGTACCGGTGCTGCGTTCTACATCGGAAACCAGATGACCGCCGTAGATTGTAGGCTCGCAAGGATATGTCCCCCGAATCTTATTGCGCTCTCAACACGGTCAATCCAAGAACGAGCTCTGTGGAAGGCTAAAGAATGGAGGAACTGGCTGGTCTATTATACTACGCCCTGCCTTCATAGCATATACTTCCGCGCGAGTAATTCGTGCACCTCACACTCTTGTGTCAGGCAACATTTCTACTCGTGCAGAAGACTGTTAGCAGGGACGACATCAGGACTGCTGAAGCACTTTGTCACGTTTTCTTCAACATGTATCTGCCCTTTATGGTGAAGCTGCAGAAACATCAAACGTGCATCTGCTTATGCATTTGCCAAAATATGTGATGCAGCTTGGTCCCTTGTGGGCTACATCAATGTTCCCGTTTGAGAGTGCAAATAGTGTGCTGCTGTACCTTGTCACCGCTCCGAAAGGTGTCCCTCTGCAGGTTGCCAAGGGGTGGGTCATGAAGCAGACCATGACAAGACTCGTTGATGTGACTTACCTCCCAGCTAGCTTTGAGCCTTTGACCAAATGTTTCGGACGTTTATGAAGATTCGGGATATACCTGAGAACGGTGTTTGGGGTGTTTCGCCGGCAGTCTCAATGACAGCCGCTGTGCATGCCTTCTTGACTGTCACTTTGGCCAGTTACCCACTCTTGAAAGGCATTTGAGAGGAAGGGTACAGGGTCTTGAAGTCCACAGCTGCCAGTACACGCGCCCCAAGAAGACGTGCACACAGTTTACAAAGATGCGAGATGGCACGTACTGCGAATTTCAGACTATTTACAGAAACACATCAAGCAGTGAAATACTTTTTGCTTGTAAAAGCCTCATTATTGAAGACTTTGGAACTTGTAGTACCAAGTACTTGCACAAGTGTATTGTGCCTCCCAATGAGGAGAGTTTAGTTTGGTTCTCGTCTAACGAGCTTGAAGGTATCTGGGTCTTCACTGACCGTGAACATGGACCTTATTTGTGTGATATGCATAACTTCTACGAGAAAGAGTAAATATAGGGAGAGTAAATCCACTACATTCGAAGTTACTGGTTCAAGGATTTTTTGGTATGAAGAATGCATGAGCAAGGCACCAGCTAGCAAGAGCACTTCACCCAGAAGGATGCCCCTATTGAATCCTAGCACTCCAGCTAAGCAAGCTAGTTTTTCTGTTGTTCTTATCAAGGAACCCTTGAAGCAGCAATTTGGGAAGTGGTGGATTTATAAATGCTTGCTGCTTTAAAGGAGCCCCGAAGTGGCACCAGGCATTTTGCCAAGACTTGACCTTTTCAGAGGCTAAGCCTGTTACCAAAACATCGGGCACCACTCTAAGCCTTCCAGGACATTGCTTTTTCAATTCTTGTTGCCAGCCCCCCCCCCCCCCCCCCCCTTACCCGTCTACACTTCACCACAGCCTATGGTGAAGTGAAGGCCAAAGGTACGGGCGACCACGTCCAGTCATGGTCCACATAAAAGCCATGTAGTATTTGGCTTCGAGGATCACTGACAGGGATGGGCAAACAGGGTTCGAATTGAATAGCATTGTGTCATTTGTGCGTTTGGCGGTGCAAATAAAGCCACAACATGCTGCACTGACCTTCTTCGCAGTGTTAAAAAAATAGGAAAGACGCCGAGCTGTTTAATTCGAAAAATTATCTGCCCATCTCTAATTGATACGCACGTCAGACCAATACATTGTTTATATAAGTGACTCGTGATTTAACCGGCGGTTCTTAGCTTTGCCTTCAGTCCATTGTTGGGCGAGGCGAAGTGCAGTGCACACAAATCAATGATCAGCACAAACATCTGATTGCCAGGCTGTCCTCTTTTTCTCTGAAAACTGAAACTGTCATCGGAACAACTGCTGTGTAAAATGACCTTTTGTGGAGCAGTTTTTAAAGTCATTTTGGTGTTCATCAAAACCCTGTTGAGTAAAATGTGAAAAAAGCGGCAGTGTCATGTTCGTACTAAATGTGCAATGCGCGAGTGATGCGATTCGCCATATTTGTTGTCAGTTTAGCTTCTCACTTGTTTAGTTGTTGTAGTTGATATATAGTGTTTACAAAATGGTCGCTTTGCCTGTTTTGGTGGGTGGCCTAAGAGAGGGACTTCAACGTCTAGGGGTAAAAATTGGTGTTATGGGAAATTAAATGTGATCGTGGGTCCCCGTCTTCCCGATGTAGTATGTAGGATAGGTCAGTGAATCGAGGGATGGGGTGTTCTTCGTGGAGTCGGGACCACTCCTCGAGTGATATGAGTCTTTCCTCTCGAAGAGACTCGGTTGCTGTTTGCTCAGCCATTTCAGGCCTGTACAACCCCAAATGAAGGGGCTTAGTGTGGCTGTGTTGTTCCTGGTGTAGACATTGCGTCTCAATGGTGCCCTCAATGTCGACAGGTCCGAGGCTCGATTGCTTGGTCGGTGTGAATGATCATAGTCGATTATATTTAATGTTTAGAGCAAGAATAGACTCGGCTTGTGCAGTAAACATGTTTAATTTTTAGCACGCTGTCTTAAGCTTGTATAAAGCTCCAATTATTGACCCCTTCCGCGGTTTACAAGACTTCCAGTGTAACAATAGTTGTGCCTATGTGATGGGGAGCGTTATCGAGTATTCTCTTGTGTTTTATTGAATGCCATTCAGTGCTCTGGGCTCTGCATTTCATGACTGATTTAATAAAACTGTTCGCTCTGCTCGTGCGTTCAGCACCATTTCTGCATTTCTTCGTGGTCTGTGCGAGTTCACGCAATATAGTCTCAGTCAGCGAAGGATGATATCAGAATAAGAAAACAGCGCAGTCAAAACGACGGACCAGTAGAAGAGTATACACACAGACAAGGTGCTGTATCTGCATCAGTCTCTTCCTGGACCCCCTTGAATCAGTGTAAAGTAAGCGTAAGAATGTTGCAGTGAATTACGTCCTTACAAATGCTTTGTATCAAATGTGGCCAGACAAAGTACTGAAGTGCCGCAAGCAGAATTAGCCGGGGGATTTGTGGTAAATAGCACTAGCTAAAGATAAGATGGGGATTCCCATCTTGACTGCAAGCAGGCGTCTGCCGCGCACCTGGGTTCTCAATTATCGTCGGGTTAGCATATGGCTCCAGCAAACGACACATAACTCATGTGTAAGCATATCCAGGCATATTTATGGTCATACGAGCCCGCGGGTTGCTTTTGCTGCATTTGCCATGCTCAGCAATTGCGACGCGAGTTCTTGTGATCAGACGACCGGTGGACTGACGCCAGTGGCCCGTGCTCTGGTCACCTCGTCGCATGCAAAGCTAGAGGCGCTTGCACGCGTCGGACGTCGAGTTCGATTCGAACGTATTAACGCAAGCATCGTCAGAGAAATGGCCATGGGCAGCGTATGCGCGGCGCCGAGTTTCCGGTGCGTCGAGCTTATGGCATGCACAACGAACATATGATAGAATAGGAACGAAAATGATTCCCCACAAGCTCCTGTAGCTTTCTCAACTTGGTGAAATCAGAGGACCGATGGGCACACGCGCGGCATCAGCTGATGAACAGCTAGAGCTATGAGAGTGAATATTTGTACGGTCAGATTTTTATTACTCCTCTTCTATCAAACATGTTGCGCAGTGGACCTCCCGTGTTTGATAGAAGAGCACCAACAAAAGTCTGCCAGTACACGCATACGATCGGCATGCATTCTCAAAATACTTCTCTTTTTCCCGTCGCCAACGATAAGTAGCTATGTTCTGATTCGGTGAAATGTGTTTTCTCCACCTAAGTCGCGGCCCCGCAGATATCTCAAGTAGCCTGAAGGTTTCCCCGACCCCATTAGAAAAGTTCTTGACTGGCTTTCAGACAGTTCAAGGCATTGTAAAGGGCAATTCATAGCAATTTTCAGGAGAGCCTCTAACGGGGCCAACGAACCCAGCAGAAAATATCGGCGCCCTCTTCAAACATCTCAGGAATTCCTGAAGTCTCCTTCACACCCTTTAAAAAATTTTGAACGCCTTCTCATAGCAATTTTCAATAGGGTATTTCACCGTTCCCGGCACGGGCGTCGACGGACATTGCACCGCTGCTTACACCCCTGCCGGGGTAAGCTTTTCTGTTGTCACGACAATCTATCGCGCCATAGACGTGTCTACTTAACGCTCCTGAAGTCGCGAGAGAACTGTGTCAATTGTTTAGTCAGAACAACGACGCAGCAATCGCGAAGCGAGAGACGAATGCTCCTCGATCTGGCTGTCCGCGTTCACTCTGATAAAATGTGAGCGTGGGACTCTCGAGCAGCGTTAGCTCGCTGTTGATGCAGGAGGCTGCTTTGTCGTTGAGAATCTTCGCCCTGCGAACGCCGGCAAAAACGTTCCAGTACTCGGCGTACCCAAGGCCGCAGCGCCTGTCAGCGACCGCCCGCGAAGCATCGCTACCTTTCTGGAGCCTATTGGCAATCTGCGAGCGCCGACGATTTATCGTCGCGACTTGAATGGGAGCATTTTATGAACCCCCGCGAACATGAACTCCCGCGAACATGATGCCCGCGACGACGATCCGCCGGCGCTCGCAGACGGAAGGTTCCGATGCTGTGCGAACGGTTGTTCGAGGACGCTGCGTAGGGTACGCCGGGCGCTGGAACGGCTTGGCAGACATTCGAAGGGAAAAGCATTCGCGACGGCAAAGTAGCGTCTTGCATCTTCAGTAAGCTAACGCTGCTCGAGAGTCCCAAGCTTACATTTCCACAAAACGAGCGCGGCAGGCCAGATCGAGGCGCAGTCGGCGCTCGCGTCGCGATTGCTACGTCGTTGCTCTACCTACAATATTGACAAATGCGCCGGCATTCGAAACAACCCTCTCAAGACTTTGAGTCCAATAGACGACCGATAGACCGTCGTGAGAAGCGTAGAGCTTACCTCTGTAGTGGCGTAAGCAGCGGCTTTATGTTCGTTGACGCCGCGTCTAGCAGGACGAAATATGCACAAAAAACATTAAATATATTTAATCCAGCGGGCAGGAAGAAATACAAACATGGCAGGGACACTGACAAAGCAAAAGTTGCGCTACGAAATACATATACTTACAAAATACACCGAAAAAGACAGATAATTCGAGCCAAAAACTGGAAGATTTAGATGACGTCAACGCCGAAATAAGGCTATGCGCAGGGAAAGCAGCCGGCAAAACTGCAATAGTCCTATAGGCAGCTAAGGACGCTTTTGTGATCGCGGGCGTATAGCCCCGGCGACGTACCTGGCTAAACAAAAATGGTTAACATGGCTAAACGAAAATCGAGCGCATGAATGACTCTCCTTCCACTTTCCCACATCTGCAGTAAAAAAAAGGGTCGCGGGCCTATAGCATAAGCAATATAAAACACCAATTAGGCAGCTAAAAAAATTGGATGATCGCGAGTCTATAGCTCGTGAGACATACATCCCTCTATAGGTCCCTCTATACATCCCTCTATAGGTCGGAGGCCTATAGACTTGGTGACATAAAATACTATAAAGTCGGCTAAAGAAAATTCAATGGTTGCGAGTCTATAGATTCAGGGACATACACAATTTCGTAGCCGGCTAAAGCAGATTCAGTAGTCGCGAATCTATAGCCATTAAGGAAATACATATTTCGATAGCTCGATAATGAATATTGAATAGTCGCGAGTCTATAGCTGCATAGACATTAATTACTCTATAACCAGCTATAAAAATCCGAATGGTCGTTATTCTATAGCTTTGAAGACATACATTTTTCTATAGGTGGCTATAGCGTGTTTTATGGTTTATTATGGCTGACGGTAGAGGGCCATCGAAGGTTACTGCTCACCATAGGATTTTCCATAGACTTCCATAGATCATTTTTGTATGGGTTTGTTTTTCAATCAACATAGTGTCAGTTTTTAGGGGCCACAAAATCGGGGTTTTATATTATTTTGTATTTTTAATATTGAACGACGACATAGATGACCCACAACTTTGAATAAATATGGTACGCATGGTTTGAACACCACATGACCACGGAAAAGAGAGTGAGCGAGACGTAAACTGGCAAATTGTCGACCGGTTATTTGCGCGCAGAGAGAAAACAAATTTCGAGCCTCAAATTGCGTTCTGGGTGGCTGGGCTCTTATTGAGCATATTCAAATAAAAACCCTGCGAGCATCAATACTATTTCAGCGTCCATTTAATACCTCCTAAAATTGGCTGATTAAGAGGATTTTTATAATGCCTCAGCAAGTCTTATATTATATATATATATATATGATATATAAATATTATATATATGAAATCATATATATATATATGCCTCAGGAAGCAATTAGTCAAATTTCAGTTGATTGGTATGTTTTTGTGCAATTTCTGACAACTCTCGTGGCTCTCAGTGTGTTCCCGAAAATAGTTTTTTCTTAATTCTCAAACTCAATATTAAAATATTTTTTTTGTTTTTGGTGAAACATTTCCCTATTGAAAATTCTCATTTGAATGAGAAATTTCTGTGTCCAATAAACACATATGAATCATACAAGATATATAAGAACATATAAGAACCGTAAAAGAACCATATAAGAACTATATAAGAACTATATAAGATATATGAGAACATACAAGCACCATAAAAGAAACTAGTGGGAAGTTTCTTATAAGTTTCTTACGGGGTTCTTATATATCTTATATAATTCTTATATAGTTCTCATATAATTCTTATATGGTTCTTATATGCTCTTATATGTTCTTATATATCTTGTATGATTCATATGTGTTTATTGGACACAAGAAAGTTCTCATACAAATGATTTTTTTTACTAGGGTTGGTGTATAAAAACATGTTCAGCTGTTTGCAGACGTTTCGCGTTGCTTGAATTATTTTTTTTACATCCACGCTATCTGCTTATTTCAACGTACCCAAAATGTTTCCGAAATATTGACTCCAATTTCTGTGCCGATAATTCATTTCCCTTATGCTATTTCAGTGTGAAACTGGGCGTGAAAAACATGGTCATTGTGAATGACTTTGATTTTATAAAAGAAATTCTCTGCAAAAAGGAGTGCCTCTTCCGTCCACGGAGCTGGGTATTCAAGGACGCCGAGGGTGCGTAACTCATTTGTTGCCGTATTTCTGTAGGTTTTAGCAAGGCTGAAGGGTATATCTAACCTGAGCTCACTTCATATATCATGCCCAAGAACACACTATTCGCATCGGGGAGGAGATAGCTACATTGCATATTTAACGTGTTATGGCACACCAATTACTGCATAAGGTCTCTACTTCCTATACTGGTGATATCGTGCTACCCCGATATTTATACAACGCGGAGTCAAAAATTAATTCAAATGCACTTTTTTTTTTGTCTGCGTAATAATAAAAACCGGACTAAAATAAATTTGCAGCATTTTAACATAGACCCCTCGCGTTCAAAACATGTGCGCAAACGCTTTACCACCGCGTGGATGACGCGGAAGAAAACATCTTGTTGCTGTCTCCGAATCTAGAGATGCTTTTCTGCAGTCATCTCATTCCATGTGCGGAACTCCCTTCCACGAAGAACTGCGTTATTTGATCCGAATAAAAGAAATCGCTCGGTAACAAGTTTTTTTTTTTTTTTTTTATTTTGTTGGGCGGATGCAGAATGTACTGTACACGTCGGCTTTGGAATCTTTCCCCCCGTCGTACGTGCCGTGTGGGGGAGCGCATTGTCGTGCTGCAGCTACACGTCAAAGTAACGTCAGCAAAGCATGCACGGCCCATTCGCATGATCAGACTTCGCGTTGTTTTCGAGCAGGTCACATCACAATGTGCTCTTGACACTGAGTCTCCTGGGCATGCAATGCTCGACTGTTGGCCCTTTATTCTCGAAGAAAGCACGACCTTGCCCTGTGTCGGAACTGCCTGGGACTACTTTGGTCTTGGTGACGAAGTGTGCCTCCGCTCTCTGCTTACGCGCTTGGTGTAGCGGATTCGACATTCGTTACCAGTGACAGTGCACTGAAGGAAACCATCTCCCTCAGCTTCATAGCGTCGAAACAGCTTCTTCCATACATCCACGCGGCGCTTCTTAAAATATAGAATAAGCTGTCTTGGTATACCCACCTGACTGACAGTTTAGGATACTGCAGATTGACGCAAAATATATTTTACACCGTGCCATGACTGATCTTCAGTCCTTCAAGCCATTTTATTGGTAGGGACAACGCTGTTCTTGTCTGCAAGCCGTTCAACTTCTGATATTGAGTACGTCGTAATTCAAGTGTGAGACCGACCAGATCAAGGGTCATCTGTCAAACTTCACTCTGCGCCTTATACAGGCGCCTTCTTACTCCTTCCTTTTTTGTGTGAGGAACATCCACGGTCTTTGCGCCCTCCCCAAGCAGCACGGAATTTGGCCAGGCAATGGCCAATGGCAGGGGATGGTCTTGTGGCCAGTGGCCAAAGAGTGGCCATTCATTGGCCAATGCTTGGCCAATGGCTGATAACCAGTGGACACTGGCCAATGGCCAGGGAAAGGCCAGTCATCAGCCAATCTCTAGCCACTGTCTGGCCACTGGCCAAAGGACCATTGCCACCCATTGGCCAATGCTTGGCCAGCTCTGTGCTGCTTGGGTCTGCACCCCATACCAGATTGCTGAGCGCTGCCCCTTTGAATTTTGAGTGTGCTGAGGTCACTTGACATTTCTAGCAGGTCTCTGTGTCCGCGAGCACAACTTACTTCGGTCGAGGGCCGAATAACATTTGTATCACAGCAGACTTGCGCAGTATTTAATTTTTTATAACTAAAATGCGTTTGCATTTTGGTAATGCCTTGTACTATGACAGACTCAGACACGATTATCGGGTTATTTTGTGATACAGTTTTAGCATATTATTGTATTTATTACGAAACACTTCATTATTTTTGTTAATAATTAAACTTAAAGAAATAAAAAAAAACAGCATCGTACTCAAGGTTGTCATGTTTACAATATATATTTATGAAACATGACACAATAACTTAGCTGCTAGAGATATATCACTTACATCGGTTTCGCAGGCTTCCTTTCAATTTCAGCATGCCTCAATTTCTTTGTTCATTAGGGGTATTATTGTGTCACTGTTACCATTTATTTTCCAGGAATCGTCTCCCTCAATGGTAAAGCGTGGCAAGAAAACCGCCGCTACTGCGCGAAGGCACTACGAGAACTTAGCTCCGGAAAAAAGACCGCGCTGGAACATGTTAGGGTCAGTACTTTTCCGGATAAGTTCTCCAAGTGAATTGGCGTCACTGTGCTACACTGATTTAGTTGCTAGTCACGAATGGCACTACCACTGAATAAGTTACGGGATAGCGAATATACTTCGAATGATAATTAAACATATCTGTTAAAAGAACCATCAGTTCATTGAGCCCCGCAGGAAGTTTTAAGTGAAATGTTTGCCGCCTCGATAAATGTGCACCTGATCAGGTATGTAATACTTAAGTATTTTATGTGCAGGTAAGTAACCTAGGCCAGAGTGCAAGGTAAAGATGTCCAACATCTTGAAAACCCTAAAGTTAGTAATAAAAAGGAGACAACACACACGCAGGTCTCAATAACAGCGGCGGCGTTTATTCCAGTTTGCCTGTCTATAAGGAGCCTAACCGGCTTTCAAACGCATGAAGTCCGTCGTCATCGCAACAGCCAACATACAAAAAGGACCCCCCCCCCCCCCCCCACCTCCCGCGCCCGGTTGCGTCTATCCGATTGCCTGGACTCCCAGCAAGGCGAGGGAAAGAAAGAGGGAGAGAAGGACACCATAGAGACAACAGACTGCCCTAGGAACGGCGCTCACGCCGGATTGGCCGGCTTGTAAAGGTAGACGCTGCCGCCGTCAACGGCAGCGATGGCAAGGAGTTTCCGAAGCGGTAGCATAGAGCAATATAGTAAACGTAAAGAGAGGACACAGAAGCCTATTCGCGGCGCATATAGTGCGTTTAATGCCCTCCGCCACGTGGCACTTTTCTTTAATTTGGTTAAAATTAATTAGAACTCTTTCTATGAGAAGTACTTATTTTTTAAATTGTTATGCTTCAGAATTATTTAAAGTACTTAAAACGAGTGAGTAGTTTTAGTCTAATACGTAAAAAAAAAAAAAAAACATGTAATGAATGGCGCCTGCCATGGCCCGCCTTGGGGGAGGGGGGGGGGGCGTGTCGCGTGACCTCGGGGGGCGGGGTCATGTGACCTTGAGGGTCACGTGACCCCCCAGAAAAATTTTTCCGCTAGATTTAGCGGGGAATTTTTTCCCCTATATCTAGCGGGGAAATTTTTCCGCTGGATTTAGCGGGGAAATTTTACCGCTAGGTTTAGCGGGCAATTTTTCCCACTAGATTTAGCGGGAAAATGTTTCCGCTACATTTAGCGGGAAATATTTTCCGCTAGATTTAGCGGGGAAATTTTTCCGCTAGATTTAGCTGAGAATTTTTTCCGCTAAATCTAGCGGGAAAATTTTTCCGCTAGATTTAGCGGGGAAATTTACCCACAATGCATTGCGCGGTTACGCCGACGCCGACGCCGACGTCGACGCCGCTCACGCCAGAAACGGGCCCCTAAGAGCTGCGCTCTAAAAACGTGAAAGCTTGAAGACTTTCGCTCGTCGTTGCGTTGCGACGGTTAGGTGCGTGTGCACTTGACTCTTCGATTCTGCATGCGGCCGACGTCTTCTGGGCCCGCCGATGGCTTCGGTGCCAGCGCTGGCGCTGAAGGGCAAGCCACGTCAACAAGCTAGTTTTAGCGGGACGTCGTAAACAGTGGACGCTGTGTCCTCGGTGAGCCAATTGGAGCGTGAGACTAAGGCACGTGAGGATTCAACTGCGATGTGGACATCTGTGCAGTGCCGTCACGTGCCTCGCTCCAGTGACCTTACTGGCTCCCCGGGCCCTTCTGTTTTGCCATTTGCCAACTTCTATCAAGTTGGAGGCTCCTCCGGTGGCTGTTTCTCGCCGACTGGCTCCGGCCTGTTGGGACTCTCGGGCGCCGCCACTATCCGGGCCCGGGCACCCGGGCAACTCGGGCTCTATGCTAAGCGAGCCGCTGTGGCGAAGAAGAGCAGAAGGAAAAAAAAAAAACAGGTCTCTCGGAAACAACAACAACGAAGGCTACGTGACCACGTGGCTACGTTACGTGCTGCCTTCTCTGGTCAAGTGTTGAGTCGGTTGAGTCAGCCCCATTGTCTTTGGTTGCCTGATTGACTTGCCGACACAACTTGCCTTCATCGTCATGTCTTCGATCATTAATGAGACGGACATCGTCAGTAGCGTAAAAGAAGGCGAATCAGATGCACCATGGCCCTTTTATAGGGATCATTTTAAACTCGTGAAAACGAAAGAGAATAGGAACATTGATGTTAGGTGCCTGAGGGGCGCCCTGAAAATCAAGATCATCTCGGCGTCCGTCACTTGCACGTCTAATCTCAGAAAGCATTTGATGGTAAGTGGCCCATATTATATGAGCGAATGACGTTTTAGCGAATGACACTTTAGCGAATAGGAATCACTTGAGCGAATGGACGTTTTCGCGAATGACGCTTCTGCGAATAGGTTGTTTGTAGCCTGTAGCCCGACCCACAACAATTATTAGTAAGCTGCCTTGTAATTGGTCAGTTAGATATCGTCTTCATTTTAGTTTTACTGAAAGCAACCACTTTTTTCCTTTTTAATGCCCGCACGTCCGGAATTTTCCGCCGCTGTTGAACACCTTTGGCGTCTGGCAGAAATATCGTTTTCGTCTCAAGTGCTAATGCTGAAACCTAGTTGGACTAGTGTCCTGCGCTGCTGAGCTGTTCTGATACGGTGCAATAAGTATTAACTAGTTATGCTTTGCTTATTCCAGTGGTCTCACAAGGAAGCACTAAAGAGTGTCAACAAGAGCAAGAAGAATGTCGCCGGGGGAAAACGGAAAGCCGCGGTACCCAAGGAAAGACCCGAATGTAGCACAGGGCCTCCACAACATAGAATAGCAGCAGTCCAGCCATCAGTGGCAGACTGCGTCAGGAGCTCGAAGTCCCCGTTCGGCCAGAGTACGAGTACTTAGATTATCTGCCCTTGATGTTTGTATCCTTCTACTGCTGCATCAAGTTTTGACAACGAAGCGTGCCAGTTTTGTTGTGCTTAATTATGTGAAATGAACATTTACGTATCTAAGGTCTCCCAATAGTATTTTCCGCGCGTAATTATAACTGTGACTCTGGAAGTAGTATTTGGAGGGGGTGTTTTATAAACCAGGAGGGAGTTTCTTCAGGCGTAGCCAGGGGGTTACCTCCCCCCCCCCCCCCCTTCACATTTGTTTTGCTGGGACCTCCTTTCTCCCTTCCGCACCTATAGCATCTTGTCATAGTCGCCCCCCCCCCCCCCCCCCCCCGCCCGCCCTCCCGCCCGCAACAAGATCCTTGCTACGTGCCAGAGTTCTTTAACAGAATTGAGTGTTGACAGACGGAAAGTTGTCTACAATACGTTCTAAGATAGATTCGTACTGCTACCGAAGAGCAGCCCCGCATTTATTGAATGAGCTGATATTTGGTTTTCAAATGCATTAGACAAAATGGTTCAGGAACTGATTGTAAATGCCAACCTGCCGTTCTCCTTCGCGGAACAGAGGAGTTTCAGGTATCTGATGCAGTACGGCTTCCCTTGCCGTCACGTGATGAGTCTACCCAAGTTGATGAGCGAAATCAGTAAGGATGCGGCTGAGACGAGGGAAGTGATATACACAGAGTAGGATATCCTCGACAAAATAACCTGTACCACAACGGACAGCGGCTTCAATTTCATAAAGGCTTTCAGGTGAAAATGAAATCTTTGATATTTCTTACTAGAAAAATCGAACGATTTCGCCGAAATAGATGTTTATTTTTTATTTTATACAGCCATTTTGGGCGGCAGTATGAAGACTACACAGACACATCATCGGAGAGTGAGATAGAAAAGGAAATTTGTGCACCTGTTGCAATCTATAACCTCCTCGAAGCTCGTGACCAATCTGATGGGGTCTACTCACTTCCTCACCACCAGCGCTGTGTGTGCCATATGCTGAATCTGATCGCAACGAAGGTAAATAGGCAAACTCTTACAGCGGCAATCGGTTGATGTTACTTATAATTCTGCAGGACAGAACGCTGAGGAATCGTCGCCGCAGCTGAAGAAGCAAATAAGGCAGACTTTCAGCAAAGCTCGGCATTATGAAAGAAGCACGCGAGGTCTAATGTGGTTGCTGACGCCATCTCTTCAACCTGTGAAGGATATTTGCCCACGCCTGTCCTCACGCGGTGGAACTCTACATACGATTGCCTCAAATCGCTTCACGGAATGCTTGTTCACGGTGAGGGAAAGTTGAAGGAAGTTTGTGAGAATTTTTAAATTCCGCGATTCACGAGGTCAGACATTGACTTTATTGATGAGTATGTTCAAGTGTTTGCACCTCTCGCACAAGCTATAACTCTTTTTCAGCGCGAAAACAGCATGTTCGTGGCATATCTCCTGCCTACAGTGGCTTAAAAAAAATGTCCGCGTTGCTGACGGAGAACTTGAGGTACTGCCGCCCGGTGGACGAGAGCTTAATCGCGGCGATCAATAAGAGGTTTGCAGGTATGGAGGAAGAAAAACATTTTATAATATCTGCCGTATGCCATCTAAAATTTAAGGTTGCATGGATAGACAACGAAGTGGAAAGGAAGCGGGCCTGGGATTATCTAAAGAACGAACTTATGCGCACATCAACTATAGAAAAAGCGTCGTCAGGCGAACAAAGTGGTGAGGATGAAGAAGACTGTGAGCACTTCTTCGAAACATCGTCCTTATCTGCTTCATGGAAGCAGGAGTTTGTACAGTACACCGAACTTGCTCCGACAAGAAGTCTGGACTGTCTCAAGCACATGCCGCTGCTGAAAAGCGTGTTCTTAAAATTCAACACAGGGCTTCCAAGCAGTGCGGCGGTGGAGCGCGTTTTTAGCTTAGGAGGAACAATTGCTACCAAACTGCGATCGAAGATGTCGGATGAACATTTCAAAGAAGTCCTGATTCTGAGGTCAAATCGAGCACTCAAGTGAAAAAGACAAAGTCTTCGAATGCTCTGGTGAGAGCGTTTTGCCTTATTTCTCGCATTGACACCAAAAAAGCACGTTTTTCAAACTTGTTTTTCAAACTTGTTTTTCTGTACATCCCGGTATACAAAGGATTTGCTTCCAGCAATAATGTGACAAATTTG